TCACTGTCTCTGGCCCGCAAACAGTCAGTCAGTCAGTCAGTAACAACGTGGAACTTCGTACGTACGTACATCAGTTCGAGTTGCCATACCACATTAGTATAGAGATGCAGTTGTCGATTGAAATCCCGTAGTGGTAGAGGTACTGAAAGTATAAGTAGTAATAGGGAAAATTCGGGTTTGATGATGTTATTTAAGGAGTATAATCCAGTGGAATAGATTTGGAAAGAAAATAAAGGACATGAAGAATTCAGAAGATTAGAGTTTGAGAGAACACAGAGAATGGATGCACCTGCGCCATTGCAAACGATTTTGAGCGATGTCATTTAAGGTCTCTAACCATCGGTTGCTATCATCTCGCGGTCCCCAACCAAGTAGTCTACACCTACCAACATGGCTCAGTCCACTTGTCAGTGACTTCATGGATTTCTGCCATGTTTTGGTCTGGCCGCCCCTAGCTTTCTTCCAACCTACTCCTACACCATAAAACATAGCAGATTGGGGCAGTCGGTGGTCGGGCATGCGCAATACATGTCCCAGCCATCTCAACTGATTAAGTTTCACTACTTCGTCAAATGATTTGCCATTCTTACCTAGTACATGTTTCCTAACAACTGAGTTACTTACTCGGTGGTCCCAGGATATACGAGCGATGTTTCGAAGACACCTATGGTCAAATACTAGTAACCTACGAATATCATCTACTCTTACTGGCCATGTTTCACTGCCATGAAGTAGGACGAAACGAGCTGCTGCGCAGTAAACACGTCCTTTGGTTGATAGATGGATATCTCCCCTACGCCACAAATGACGCAAGTTGGAAAAAGCTAGTCGAGCCTTTTGTATCCGTGCTGAGATTTCGTCACACACCAAACCAAAAGGGCTGATGAGGCTTCCGAGATAAGTGAAGCGGTCGACACGCTCAACTACTTCAATCCCTATTACTAGTTCGGGTGTCGACGCAACCCAATCCTGAAGCAACAATTTGCATTTCGAGGGAGAAAATCGCCCGCCGAACATGTTTGCATTGTTGCTTAGAGTGGTCAGCAGACTCTGCATTCTGTCAGCGTTTTCACTAAATAGAACTATGTCATCGGCATATTCTAAGTCAACAAGTGGATCTCCCGGTAGAAGTTCAACTCCTGGAAATTTAGATGAGGAAAGTGTCATCTCTAAAATGACGTCAACGACAAAGTTAAACAAGAATGGAGAATGTGGACAGCCCTGACGAACATCACTTGAGGTAATCAATTCTGATGACAGTTCACCATAAGCTCTCACTCGACCAGTTGTGTTCGAGTAGAGAGCCTTTATAAGGTTGATGTACTTCTTTGGTACTCCCTTCAGTGACAAACACTGCCATAGAACCTCACGATCAACAAAGTCAAATGCCGCCTTAAGGTCGAGAAATACTACCATTGTGGGGCGTCTGAATGTGTGTCTATGTTCTAAGACCTGACGTAATGTGAATATTTGATCAAGACAACCACGTCCAGGTCGAAAACCAGCCTGGTTTTCTCTAGTCTGCTCTTCACGAGCTTTGGTTTGACGTCGAAGTATTATTGATGCTAATATTTTAGACACTATATTAGTCAAACTAATTCCTCTGTGATTGTCACAGGAGGACTTTTGTCCTTTCTTATAGACTGGCACAATCAGTGATTGAGACCAGTCAGATGGCCCGCAAACACGATCCGTGCCAATGTCTCAGCTTTCGTGACAAACACGAGCAACTGGTAAAGTACAACTTACTCCCCAAAAATATTGATGATGGTGTTGCTAAAATCTAAAAACGGCCCTAATAGCGTCGACAAAAAAGGGAGACAGCAATTTGTGTATCATAATACTGTTTTTAGCACTATATTTTACAACTACATATTCTCATACTCTCAGTTTCTTTCTGAACCACCCCCATTTGTCAGTTGATTATCCGCTCATACCTTGTCTACACTTATTTTCTTTAACTTATCAGGATGTTCCTGCTTGCTAAATGCCTTTATAAAAGAGAATCAGACTAAATAGTCATATCTTAGCTGTTTCTTCATGAACATTGTCTACTCTGCTTCTCGTCCTTTTTTGTTTTTCTCTTTTCTTGCACTATTTTTCAGCCCCCCTGGGATACGGAACGGTTGACCTCGTCCTGCATCATCCTTAAAGCCTCAAATATTCCATTGAGATATAAGATTGCGATTTCTAGAAGCCATCAACTGCACATGAATCTATTATCGACCATCAGCTGCACGTTGCAACGCAACCATTCTACATTTATATCTTATAAATTATCGACCCAGCTGAGTAATTTACTACAGTTGGACATTGTATCATTCGTAACGATTTGATTTTGCCTGTAAACTGGCAGGCCTCATGTAACAAACTCTTATTTCAGAATAAATTATTATTATTATAACTGCAATCTTTGGAGTCTACGGATTTCTGTGTATGCCTACTGGACTAATAAGTGTTTAGCAAACCTCTCAAAGTTTTATCTTTGGCATCTTCAGGGTCCTTTATACAATATCTTCATACCTTCACGACTGTTATATAAGCAGCCAATAAAAGAAACACATCTTTGTTATCAAAGCCATGTTTTCGGACAGCTCCGAATGTATTATACTACTGTGAATATTCAAATAACCGGAAGTGAAATAAATTGTCTGAATTATCTGATACAGATGTTTAGAATATTTGTTTTGTGATTTTAAGCTCAAAATTTATGGCAAAGTGTTTATTCAGGCCGGAGGGTTTTTATTATATGTGCTTCTTCTGTATCCACAGAAGCTACTAAGATTTGGTAATTCGCCACTACCGGAACATGCTTGGAGAAGACGTATACGAGTTGTAACGCCATGAAGAAAACATATGGGTAATAAATGAGATATCAGTCTGGGAAAGCGTTTATCTGTTCAGGCGGTAATAATATTCTCATCGGTCCCATTCATATTTGTCTTTGTAATTGTGTGTAGCACTAAGGCCTATGGGTTTTCAACTGATGGATGACGTCTACTTGCAACATGTGTTCGGATTACTTCCTAGTAATCTTGATTTTGTCGGAGTTTTGTCTGGAACGTTTAGCGCTAATTGGTCGCCGCGTTGCAATCATTGTGAAGCGGTTTGCAGTTCGACAACCTAATCAAACAGTACTGTCACGATTGCACAGAATGTCAATAGACATGGATGCCGTAAAGGGCACCGCTGATGATAATACAATTATCCTTAAGAAGTGTACTTCAATCAAAAAGCTTCTGAACATCCACGTTTGTCATCAAGTTTTAAGTTGTAGGAAAATCCGCTCTCTAAGTTGCCCAACTTCTACCAATGGAACCACACAAAACTTTGACTTAGTTCGAAGTCTACCATTGTTTGTCACATGTGATCTCACTATGGTCAGCGAATGATTTCGCCAGCGGTGTATGTAAAAAATGCGTCTTCAGGTATCCTTTCAACTATGTGTAATTGTAGAAATTATAACCACCAAATGGCTGGTGCTACCATTACTGACTCGCCAGCTAATTAATTTGTGGAGTTTTATGTTTCGTAGGAAAGCAACATGGTCTATTATACTTCATTATTACAGTACAGTAAATTGATGCTTTTTGGGGTTGAAAAGTGCTTTTGTGCTGAAAAAATCTTTCGAGTGCGTCGTGTCCTGTCTTGTAAATGGGCGAATTTAGGTACAAAATCATATATCTGGTTTTTTGGGGATGTCAAATTATTGATCGTTACTTTGGAATTTTGTGATAGTTGCATAAAATTAACTAGTTTGCAGTTTGGTTATACTTCCATTATTTTACAGTGATATCCACCAGGTCACCTTAGATAACAGATATTGTCTATACGCACTGTAAATACATTTGTTCAACGATATATTTGTTTGATTTATACAACTTGACAAACTTTTCAGTGTATCTAGGTTGTGGTGATTTTGTTGTGATGATTTTCTGCCATTCAGGTTGCAAGCCGTTAGTAATAAATGCCGAAATGTGTTCGGATTCCACAGATTTCAGACTATCGTAACGTGCTTATTAAAGGTATTGATTAGTGAGATATTTGATAAAATCTGAAAACACGTGCATAAGATGTGCCTAATGACCGAAACTTCAGTATTTGTCTGAAAGCAGAGTACAAACTAATCAAAGTTTATTCGATTTTATCAAACCAAGTTCTTCGTTATTGCGTACAAACCCACTCTTGAGTCACTAGTCTAAATTTTCTTAAAACACGAAATTTTCAGTCAATTAAACTAGTGTTTATTTGACAAAGAAAACGAGCTACACAGAAATTCTAAGTACCCAAAACGGTACATCTTGTTGTATGCTGTCAAAAGTTTCTCTATCACAAATAGCAAACTTAACGGCAAAAGATAGACTACTGTTCAGCAGATTAGAATCAGTAAGAGTCTTCTTAAAAAAAGGATCGAGTATCTGTCTACGAAAATTCCAGTAGCCATTTCCGTTAGGTAATGAAAAGTCATCAGTAATCAACCGCATACCGTCGTAACCTTGAGTTCTCTTAAACATCATGCGACAAGATTCATTAATAAAGGTAAGCTACAACTAAGTTCAAGTAATAAAGGTCTACGCAGGAGAAACTGAGAAATCTAAAACGTGGTTGAAAGAGTATTGAATAAAAACTAAATTATAAGACGAAAGAAAATAATAAAGAAGTGAAGATCTCGCTCGATGAAACACTTTGGAGATTTTCAGAATATCTTTTCCGTTACAATGTGGTTTGGGAGCGTATGTAAACATGTAAGTGTGAATTATCTGACTTTATATCTTTGTTTCAACAGGGATGGAGCTGTTCAATCCTTCCATACGTTTTTAGAGACCTCAACACAAAGAACTAATCCGTCCTTCTAATATGAAGCTTGAAAGTGCACTTAAATTAGGGAAAATGTAAGTGGAATTATATTTTTATCCTTTACATCATGCATTGGGTATTGAAAGTGGCGCGCTTTCTAGGCTAACAATCTCGTGGTGTTGGTTCGGCGCTGCGCTGACCACATGTTTGTATGTTTATCCACTTTTAGTCATGCTGGTCCTCTATTGATCGTTTTAAATTAGTGTTTTTTATTCAATTTGTACACATTTTTCAAAAATGAACTTCCTTTTTGTTTCTCACCAATTATGTTGTGTTGCATCAGCTACTGGGTTTAATCATGATGTGTTGGTGAGTAATAAAATGTGTCAGTTGTTCAAAAATACGTGTTCTGCCGGATATATTTTTCGGGGAGCAAAAGCACTAGTTTTGTGCAGTATAATGAGCGTCTCAAACTTCATTATCAAATACGTTGTTGTAGATAGTAAACTGTTAACAGTTGATCTACCTGTGTTCTCAGGGAATTTCAATTCGTCGGGCTTGATTTGTAGAGTTTGGATTAGTGAGTGGAATTTGACAACGATAATTTTATATTGGTCGTGTCACTTTTTTATGCATAGAAGTCTCGCAATATATTCATTTCTGCTGTATATTTTTTAGAATCGAACTCAGATTTCGTCTGGTTAGGCCTATTAAGACTGATTGTCTACTTAACTGGTCAAGACAATACTAATCTATCCTTTCCATACGACTCCTGGTAAGCTTTGTAATATCCAGTTGTTTTCCTTTTGTACTTCAACTAATAGTATATAAATTTGACGACTGAGTAGTCTTCATATTTATACTTATATATACATATATATACTGATTCGAAACTCGAATTATTTCACTAGCTTGTGCATGATACATTTGGCTAAAACCGTAGTTTTACTTCTTTTAAACACATAAATGTATGTACAAAAGGCTCCAAATAGATATGTACTACATAAATCATTCGTTTTGTGTGAGGGATAGGATACTACCCGGATGCTTAAACCGGAGCACGTGGTTTTTTCTAGGGGGCTACATCCCGGACCTTTGACCTATAGGTCTTACCCACGAGGCAGTGGAGCAACGTCAGGAGATGCAGTCCCATGGTAACTAGTGACCAACGGTTAGTTCATACGCCATCCGTTCCCTCAGGATTCTGGAGCCCATGTACACTGTTGGCTTGGAATTAGGGTTCTTTAAATCCCTTATGTGAATCCTCTATATCCACAAACCTTGGTAAAGCACCGGACATTCGCTTTTCGTCCTCTCAATTTCGTGAACAACACCATTGAGAGATAGTGAGTAGAACTTCCGTGGAAGTGGTTGTATACACGTGACCATGTGAGAGCATCTCGAGAGGGAGAGTTGACTCCTCACTCTTGGCTGTACCAGGGCTGTACACGAACACGTACTCAGCTATTGAGTTACATCAGTTCTAGTTATTCAGTCATTTGGATGGAGCTTTATGCAAATTGAAGAGAAGTATTCCGAACTAAACATTTTATTTATATTATGTAGTCGCTATATCTTAATTATCTGTCTTTTCACGTTTTACATTACTGCATTTAATCGTTTCCACTCTTAACACTTCGTTGCATTTACTGCTTCTGTTGTCCTAATGTTATGTAAATTGACTTGGTGGTACAAATCGCTTCGTAGTCATCACGTTTAGATACAATGTCTTCTTGAGTGCTCAGTACTTCTGGACTTGATCCATCTTCCCAGTTTTGGTCAATTTGTTCACGTCCTCCATTTATTATTATTATTGCTTAAACATAAACATTGGTACAAGACGCCAAATATATATGCGCCATATAAATCGAATGATTTGTATGGGGGCTGGAATACTGTCTGGGAACCCAAAATGAAGCAGGATCCTCCCTTTAGACCATTTTGTCTCGTTCATTCTACAGCAAAATAATTTATTTGTGTAAACCGCGTCTGTCAAATGTTCTATTCATGACTTAACAAGCTTTTCAAAAATTATGAATAAGGTCAGGTAATATTATTGAAATTATCTAACAAACTTTCAAACTATGTATCAGACAAATGCAGGGACCATCTGCAAATTTTTACAAGTATTTTTTCGGTCAAAAACAATTGCTTTTTCCTAAAAAAATCTGTATGCCTCATTAATCAATCTCATACTAAGATTGTCATATTTTAGATTCATTTGTCTTTGAATTTTATTTATTTCAATACTTATTTTTTAGCTTAACAGACAATCACCTTTATGGTACTCGGGTGGCATCGGGTTCCTGTGATTTTTATTCGGACTTGAGATTCAGATTGTGCCTTTTGTCAGTGTATGTGAATAAGTAAATGGATTTCAATATTGCGGAACTGTGTAACGTTTTCAACGCTCAACAAGGTAAAGACAACAACTGTCAAAAGCATGTATTGAAGTTAATACAGTTCCTCAGTTCTGAAGATGGTTGGCCAATATGCACTTCTGTTTTGTTAAATTCTAATTCGACCCTCCCCAATGTAGATGCACTCCCGGGGGACCAAAAATCTGCCCTTTTTTTCCTATGTTGTAGAGCACTTGAGGAGAACTTAAAATCTGAGTAAGTAATACGATTTTCTTATTCTGAAATTTTAGTTTACCCGTTCGACCAGATGAAGCACAGAAATTCGCTACGTTTGCCTGCCAGTGGTTGAGATATTTCATTAATCCTATTGATGGGATCAGAAAACCTAAATATTTTGAAGCGAAGGCTGGTCAGTTAATTACATTAGCTATTATACGGTATTATCCAAATCATTGGTCTTCTCTTTTTGACGATCTTTTGGGAATACTAGTTGAAGCAACAGGTTAGTTCTTTTATATTTTCCAGATTTCTTATGGATTGGTTATTACCTTTCCTCGTATATTTCTCAGACTAATATTTAGATTAGAGCAGTTATTTGCTGCACCACTTCAAGTGTAGGTACAGATGATTTTCGTATATAAATTAAAACATGGAGGTGAACAGTTGATTGGTTACATAATATGAGAATTAGTTTAGATCCATGATTGTATACTAATTAGCAAAACATTTCTTCGCTCTGTTTAATGTTTAATAAGTGCCTGAATGAGAATTCTACTCAGCGAAATTTCAGTTTATTCAGTGCGAACTGGTAATTGTACATAAGTTCAGCTTTCTAAATCATAACTATTGTGATTCCATACTACATGGATTTTCTACTAAAACTGTCATAAATGTAACAATGATTAAGCCTGTAACTCATGCGTAATCAAACTCGTAATCATTAACATATTTCATTTCCATGAAATGTTTTTAATACCTATTCCACATTAACTTGTGTTGTTTAATTTTTTGAAGATGGACAAGTCAGTGAAAGAAATAAGTCTGATGTAGTGGCTGTCGATCTGTTCCTTGATATTCTTATTGATTTAGACAGCTATATCATATCAAGAAATGTACAGTTAACCACCGAGGAACTCAGACGAAGTAATGAGCTCAAAGATGCAATGCGTGAATCATGTATTGGCTCACTGATTCATACATGCTATCAATTGATAGTGAGTTATAATCTACATTTTGGTTTTTTAAACTCACTTTTTACGGAATCTCAACCACATTATAATCACATTAATAGCAGGTACTCTTTTGAGATTCTTGTTTAATCACTTGAATATTTCAGAGCTTTTAACCCTGATTGATCATACGGACAAAACAGTTATAGGTTAACCTGCATAATAGAACAAAGTGACTGTTGTCTTGTTATTGGGGTTCCGTATGGCCTACGATGTTACGGACTCAGGAATGAAAACGGCTGAGCTTCCCTAATATATTCGGTCATTTTCGGAAATCAGAACAGTTAATTATACTCAACACATCAAGCCTCGACGGCTAAGACAGGAGGAAGACGAAATTTCAGGTAACTCCATATTTATGGTAGAACAAGCAACTCAAACGAAATTAGTACAAAAAGGTCGTTATTAGATTAGCGGAATATGACCGAGCATGTAGCAATTTAGCGAACTAAGTAAACGTGACAACCATTTAGAAAGCATAGGTCATGCGGAAAATCAAATTAATAGAAAGTGTGCGAATGGTTATCGTTTCTCAAGAGATTTTACTCTTTCTAGTAAAATGTGACTACTTTTGCGACCGCTTTAACATTATCATAAGATTTCTCAAATTTATTCACTTCAGTTAGAAAATTTCTTACGTCTTGTAAACTAGTTCTTGTTAAATTGTTAGCACATTACTTAAAGCAATAGCCTGCATCATCTTCAGTATCGTACAATTAACCAATACCGGTAAAATATATATTCATCTGAATAGTGTGTAAGCTATCTCCGTATAGGTTTTCTTAGAAGTTATACGAAACTGAAGATGTGTAGTAATAACTAAACCTGCGTATAGACAAATTATGCGTGTATTTGTAAATGTTTGTAAGCACCATAGCAAAAATTCGCGTGTGGAATTCCCCCGAAATTATATAGGTAAACTAGAATAAAACTGGTTTAACTACAGTTATTTCTGGAGTAATCATGGCAATTCATATCATAACACATTTATTGCTGAGATCGCTGATATTGACGTTATCAACCACTCACATTTCTACGTAATTAGTCATCATAATAACACTCAAATTATGGATTCACTGTATAGAAAAGTTGGTACTTGTACGATATGGTTGTATATTACAGTATACTTTTGGGATATTTGTTTGACCACCTATGGACCTTGAAATATGAGGATTTTGGAAAGGTTTACTTCACATCTTTACGGATTGAATGTGCCAAATTACAACTGCACTATAATATTTACTGCTTGGTTAGTATTTTCACATCCACATCAGACATACTGGTCGATATCTCTAACAGTTAATATGATAAAAGCTAAACGATATCCGTTCACCTGTGACAATAGCTCTAAATGCGTTTCAAAAAGTATGTCGACGATTTCTTGTAGTTTATCTAGATTTCCTATTTTTGGCGTTGAGTAGTAGTACTGTTATCGTATTATATTAAACATACTTTTATTGGTAAAATAAACTGCTTCAGTATAAAATAACCATAATTTAACATACTCCAATATGGCTTTTTTTCAGTATCGATTTCTTAATTCATGTCAATCGAATGCATTTCTGATTCGCAAAATTCTTCATACCATTGGTTTATATGCATCATGGGTTGATTTGACGCTTGTGGCCAATACAGAATGGATTACATTATTAAGCCGATTATTACAATTATCAGTTGATAATAATAATGATAATAATTCAGCAAATGCAATCATCCGTTGCGGGATTTATTTATATTTGATAGGTTTTGTAAATAAAGGTATGCAAGTAATTGACAAATTAAGGTTGTTAACTGGTATTTGGGAACAGTTAGGATCTATGTTAATTAATGATCCAAATATATCAAATTTCATGATGAATTCAGCTAACGACACTTGTGACAACTTGAATGAAGATCAATTAGAATCCTTATCTACATTTGCTACTTTGATCGATGCAATGGGAAATCAATTATTGTCTGTGTACAGGTACTTTGATGTTTGTTTTATTATGATTAATCTTTGTCTTATCATAATCATGATATGCTGAGGCGTTTAAAGGTTGTTCACGCATTTAGGGTGTGTTAATTTGATAATCTATGCAACTGATTGTTGATGTTTTATGTTCTGGTCTAAATAATAGGCAACATGTATTGATGGACACTTCAGTTGACGTTTGGTAATTCTCTGTATGTCAAACAACTATTAGTGGAGTATATGTGTGTCTTTAAAAGCCATGAAGAATAACTTAACAGATTGGAATACTGTAATTAAACTGCGGCTTGGATGATAATCAGATGATCTCTACCTTGTACAACTGGCAATTAAATCGGTTTAAACCTCTGTTAAAACTCGGGACTCGATTACAGTTATGTCGCGTTAGCAATTCTTATTGATGACCAGTTAGAACCTAGCACTCGTTTGATACATTCTTCGGCACTTTCTGTAATTACCTAGTTCTTGCATTGATCGCTTAATGAATACAATTAAAATCATTGAGAGATTACAGATTAATTAATCTCATGAGTGAGAATAAAATTTATCTTTTTGTTGTTTTTAATCCGACACCTTCACAATCTTAAGTGAAATGATTCAAGATAGATTAGGAAAATTTAGATTCCCCCGGTACTTACTTTACTATATATCACATTTAGCTTCTTATTCCACTTATTATCTTCGTAGTTCAAACACCCAGCTATCCATTAATAGATTTAAGTTTCAAACCCTACCATGTCTATTTTGACTAGGCAGTTCGATAATATCACTAGCCCTTACATCTCTTTAAAAGCTTTCAATCACAAAACCATTCCTTTTTAAACTTTTTTTTATTAGGAACTTGTACGAAGCAACTTGGCTAAATAACAGCTCAAATCAAGCTAATAATCAGTTTCGATCCGAATCAGATAATAATTCATTCTTACCCATTGCATTGGAAGCCTTGGAAGACCGATTAAACGTTGCTGTGCGTTTATTTGAACATAAAGAACAACAAATCAGCCAAGTGGTTACACCATTTCTTCGCTCTTATCTGGGTCTATTGAAAAGCGTTGTAAATCATCCGTCCGAAAATCTTTTATCACCAGGAGGTGGACGTCGTTCACGTAATCGTAATAGTTCAACTTCATTGGATTCTACAAATCCTTTATGGTTGAACAGTACTACATCACCTGGTCATCTGGAAATAAATGAAATCAGATCATTTTTTGTTAAACGTCTTCTATTTGCATGTATAGATAAGATGAAGTGTCTTCCGATTCGTGATAATCAAGGAGATGATGATGAGGTAAGAATCTTTTATGTAAAAAGCGAGTTTTGGAGCAATACTACAGGCTGTCTGTGTATTAAAACGGTCATTTTTCAGTCCGTCTATTATTTGTCGGTTTCAGATATCTAAAATTGCAATCATGGATAGTTTGTAATAACTACAAGCTACGTTAATATTCTAGAGGCTATTTAGTTCATTTTTATATATAGTATCATAGGCCTTTATATAATCAATGTAGCTCAGCCAAGTACATAACTCATTATTAATAACTTACCAATCAGGTACAGATTCGTGTGATTAACTTCTAAACATACCAAATGTGAGGACTAGTGATATTATCGTGTTGCTCAAATCGAAGTAGATAAACTAGGATTCAAACATGGGACTTAGTTATTGACCATCAAGCCACCACTTAATGCCAAAAACAAGTTATTTATTAAGTATATGACTTTCATCTTGCATCTTCTTGTTCTTCCAGAGTGAATATGAGGAATACCGACATGAACTACGCACACTAATTGGAAATATCACACAGTTAGATCAAAGATTTGTATTGGATACTATACATCAAATGGTTAGACATTCCCATCATTTACTCAACTCAAACGGTATGGAAAAATCTTCATTTCCTCTGGAACATTTGCAACAAATTGATGTGACTTTGAATTTGTTCTATTTGTTTGGAGAAATTTGCAAAGTAAGTTTATCAGGTGTTTAATTTTTTTCTTTTAATATACTGTTATTGCTGTTTGCGTATATACTAACGAATGATTATGTTGTGCATCACTCTGCTCGGTTTAACTCAATAAATGTAAAGTGTAGATTTTGGAATTGGATGACATACTTTCTTCGGAGTATTGCTCGCTCATTTTTTAGTAGTAGAATGCTAAGCAAATGTGAAACGGTTGATGGTACCGTAAAACATGCATTGTATATTCCCAACCATCGCCCACAAAGTAGGGATAGATTTAAGGAAAACTTAGGGTGGCGATACCAACACATATCATCCGTCCATGGGATCACTAACTGTTGAACCAAGTTTTAATAATAGATGTGAACTATCTGGTTGGGTCTACGCGATGACCATGACCAATAATTGAAAATGAGTAACATGGCTCAGTCTATCTCAGTGTTTTAGATAGATTCGTTTTCTGTATTTTATTAGATCCAAAGTTCCAGTATTGTTGCATACTTTTTATTCCATAAGTTTATCTTACCTATTTGACTACATTTAGTCTTTCTTATTATCATAAATAATACTCGTTTGCTGTTCATTTTGTGTCATCTAGATTATTCATTTTATAGCCAAATCAAATCCAGGTATCTTGTTTTTTCTTCGAGTAGTATTGAAGAAACAGTAGATAGTTATTTCACATTCGGTTTACACTTTACTACTACACCTTGTTGGGATAGTAACTTAATCATTGTATAACTCACCTTTTAAAAATTTAGTCGCAAGTTCGAATCTTGTTTCAGTTTGGGGATCCTAACAGCCCTCCCACTAGCCGAATACCAATTATATATACTTATATATATGATTACTTTTTTAACATGTATGACAAGTGTAATCTGTTTCATATAATGTTTTACATAATTCTTATTCAGGCCAGTAAAAATGATCACTTCTGTCAAAGTTTTCCTCATCATGAAACTATGGTATCAATAATGTCTGTACTGTGCAGTGATTCCTTCTCTCGTTTACCACATGAAACTCTTCAGTTGCAGTATTTCGAAATAATGGTTCGGTATGAACGTTATTTTTCGCTAGTGCCTGAACACCTCTTGAATGTGATGGTACGTCTTTTGTATTTCTATTGTTATCTAACTAGATTAAAGTTGCTTTTTAATGCCGTCTAATTTTAGTGCACGTCTTAAAGACTCTATTGTTTTTGTTGTTATAGTTTCTTTATTAAGTCATGATTTGTGATGTATTTATTGCCAATAAACTTGTCTAAATCACATTTTGGTTAAATAGAGATTTTTTGTGCAACCACAATAACTTTGGCCATTTAGTGGTGTGGTGGTTTATGTAGATTTTATTAACCAAACAACAGTTTTGTTGCAAAAGACTACCTCAAACAACTGTGAAGGTAGATAACTTGCTGTCGTAATGCACAACCCAATGACGTGGCGAAAATTGTCTTTCAAGTAAGTTATCCGATATGATGTGAGCGGTTTTCAATGGTACATAATCTGTCCCCAGCTTATTTAAAAGTCAAATCTCGAATAAATTTTATTGAAACCCTGAAGTAGATTAAAGTTATCGGGCATAATGATGTTTAGAATGACATTTAAAGAAATGCAAAAGTGTTTTATTGTAACATCAACATACCAATGTCGAGAAAACGCCAACCTTGAATGAAGATCACCTAATGTTGGACATTTCGACTGGGAAAACGTGCAGAATCGTATAAATCGACAAAATAATAAGTTAAATGGGTTTTAGCCGGTTAAATTATATTTAATAAATTAGTACAGACGTAATCTCTTCAGATTCAGAAATTAAGTTTACCGTGTATTTATTATCTTGCGTGCAAAAATATAGATTTGTTGCTATGTGGTCTAAAACTATAAGCTTTTAATCTTAGGGTCATGTCCACAGCAAGCAGACATACGTGTAACCAGCACACGGTAAGCTTGATTCTGAACTTAGCGTGTAAACATGTGATCGGTCACTAACAATGATCAATTTTTCATTTTATTTTAATAATATTATTAGCTTTATTCAGTATTATATTTTTGGTTTGATATAAAATTTTCAGTACAAATTATTTCAACAAGTTTCCGTTTCTTCTTGGTCGATCTTGACGATAAATATTGAGTAGTCGCTAGTTAGAAGCTAACAGTTCAGAAATAGACATCTGAATAATGTACATTCTTTTCTCTGCATTTCGCCAGCAACCATGATGTCTCTTATTGGGCTGTTTTGTAACCTGAATAGGTTGTGCGATTAACAGATAACTTGTGAAATATTTAAATGCAATGAAACAGGTAGCCCAGATTTTCAAGCAGGTCGCCAAAGATTTAATTGTTACAATGGTCTATGTATTGTTAATCTCATGTGTCGTATATCTCAGAACCGTTAATATGGATATAGATAGGTTCAGTTTCTATCTTTTAATCTTAATGCATTATATATAGGTTGGGTGAATAATTGATTACAACCGATTAGATTAAATTCATGTAAAACTGCCCTATGCAGGGCGCTACATAACCATGGTGAATCGGTTGATAAGGTAGTGAATCTTCATCAGCTGAGGTATTTGACATAAGTATTACTCATGCCCACTGAGGTACTGTCCATATCTACGCGCACTATAGACTGGTGTATATTTACATTTAAAGAAAGGTATGAGTGCCCAAAACAAAATCTAGCTCCGTCCAATGAAGTCATTGAGAGTCGGGCTGATCCATGTTGGAAGGTAGGTGTAAAATATCTGATTTTGGTCCTCCCGATTATTGTAGCGATTGTTTACAGACATTAAGTGATATGACTTGCAGACATTCGCTGTGACACGGGTGTTTTAACTCATTATTCCACTAATCCATGTTTTCTCTGGTTTTGTCTATTTTCCCTGATTATTTTTACTACCATTAAAACTATTAATACCAATTCTACTCTGACATCTCGCTATGCTGATATAGTGTGGAAAACTCACCTGTCGCACATAAGTATCAAGTTCTACATTCACATATGACTGACTGACCTGTCCGATTAAATATATCACCTTGAAGAGACTAATTTCCCCTATCTCTGACTCCTATAAATAGTATCCGTTAACTGTATATTTAATGCAGGCTAAATCTCCTAGTAGAATTATGGATTTACTCGAGATTATTCAAAAGCCTTGAACACCAGTTGTAGAGATATTTGATTGTTAAAGATTAATAAAATCCGCAAGCATACAGCAAGCAAGCACATAGTGAAACCAAGAGTGTGTGTGTGAGAGAGTTAAAAATCCATATATATTTATGAGTATTAACCAAGTATGGATAAATTATTGATTGTCTATGTATTACAACCGATGGGAGAATAGCTTAAAAATTGACATGTGCTCAATCAAACTCACACAGAAAATTACATTGTAGATCAAGTGTCTAAATTACAGTGAGCAGATAAATAATACAATAGTTGAATGGGTTTATTACTACCTTCAGTTGCTAATAAAAATTTTTATTTTCTAGAGAATAATGAATTTACGCCTAGTACATACATTCACAGTCATCATGACAGGAATTTTAAGCTCTTCCCTATGTTGACCGGTAATGTGACATTCATTTAAAGCAACAAACAAAGAGATAACCTATGTATGGTTTCGATAAAAAAAATGTTTCGCTTTTTTATTTAAATTCAATTTAGCTCGCATTTGTTGATGATCGAGGTTTGCATAGTCCATGGCATAGTGTTAAAATTCGCTGCGCTTATTTAATTAATCGCATTATAAAGTCACACAAGTAAGCGTATTTCATAAAAAAATTTTATAATCAGTTATTAGAATTTTCGCCCATATTTTCTTTCATCCCGATATAATTTACTTTTTTTAAAATAGTGTTAACAGTGAACTTTTTGTTCTGTCTCCTAATTTCTCTTGTTTGTCGATAAACGGATCGAAATTATTCATAAATTGTTCATTGACGAAGTGTATCTTGGTTGTTTCTCTCCCCTCCTCCAACCTATAACAGAGTTTAAAATGTAATTTTGGAGAAACATTTTTTTATTATTCTAAAGCTCTATTTCTGCTTGAAGTAAATCAACGAATAATATTTGGTTAGCATCCGTCTTCCTGATTGATTCTTCTCAAATGTTTCTTTTTTAAATCATTTTGTCATCCTGCTTGACATTGGGCATCCTTTAATTTCTGTTATTCCTTAAAAATTATCTTTAGTTATATATATATATATATATATATATATATATATATATATATATATATATATATATATATATATATATATATATATTCAACATCGATCGATTCATGATCTCCATCAAGATCTTAGCAATCTCCACAACCGCATACTAATAATTACCATGTGACTAGCTTCGTGATGAAATTCTCGGAGTTCTAATTAGAAGTCGTGACCAGTGAAGCTAATCCGTGTCAGGTAGAGACAGGTATCTTTCTCAGACATTGGAAGATGGTCGTGCAATTTCGTGGATTGGTTGAAGTTAGACATTAACACGTTGGATGCCAGCTCAGTGACCTAGCATCTAAGCGTTCACGCGTAAGACCAAATGTCCTGGGCTCGATTTTTGCGTTGGGGTTCATGGATGTACACTGCTAAAGTGTCCCACATTAGGACGAAACAGCCATCCAGTGCTTCCAGGTTTTCAATGGTGGTTTAACGTTGATGGATTCATGATCTTAATAAAAAAATTAACAATCTCCACAACCCCATACTGATAAAATATATAAGTAGGCGGCCAAACCAAAATAAATTGATTGATTGTTGAACTAAACCATGTTAGTATATGTGATAATCACGGTTAGAGACTTTGGGTGACATAGTTAATAATTAGTTACAATGAGGTAGATTCATTTATTCTTTGTCTTCGATGTGATTTTGGGTACCAGAATTATTGATCCTGTCATAATATTCTTCGACAATCGTTTTCTGTATTAGTCTTTTTTGCCGTCACTTGTACTGTTACTAATTCTACTCTTTTAACGTTTGTCGTGATAATTTCATCCCACTATGTTCATATCGTTCAGCAACTCCCACCGATGCACATGTGTGCTAGGTTCTAGGTCTTTTATGACTGTTAAGTGGGTGCTCACAGTTCTAGATTATTGTTTATTATCTTGAAATTCCTCTGTAATCACAATTTAACCTCTTTCGATAGTATTGGGATGATCATATTTCTATTGTAGTTTCCTTAAAATAGTGACACAACAGTACGCCGTAATAATGAAACTGAATGTCTTTAGGTTCGTATTTTGATGGTCAAACCTCACACATTAACTTTTTGGTTGAGCTTCATAACATAGTAAATCAAGTGTTAACATAACTGGTACTTGGGTTAAGTTCTATGACTTCATTGTTTAAAAAATAACGATAATATTTCTTTTAACAAAACAAAAGGATCACATAATCGCTTCATTCGACATTTATTACTATTGTTATCTCAACCTGATGATGTGAGTGACTATTAATCTGAATGATTTTAACTATTCTAAGAGGGTGACTAACCGATTAAAATGCACAAATTGTAGGATGACTTATTTTTATTGACTTATTTTACATAAAACCAGCTTTATACAATAGAGCACCAGGAAATACATCAAGCATAACAAGAAAAAGTCATGAGGTACAAAGGGCTGCTGAAAAATTGCATAATGCTAAGCATTATATTTGAATTAAAAATATATTCTAGTTGGTTTCTAGTTGTTTTCCTACTATTTCTAGAGAAAGCTAAAGCAATATAATTGCCAGTTTCCACTTTTTAAACTCGTTTGATGAAATCTCAAGCTACTGAATCGCACAATGTTTAAAATTTCATACAAGAGAGTGATGTTGTACTGAAGCTAACAACTGTTAATGCAAAAACTATCTTCTTACACCACTTCATAAGCTGGAAACCTCGCATTTCCCAATTTTTTTAGGTTTTATGTTGGGAAACCTAATAATATTTCTCATTGATTTGAAACCCTTGTCAGATCGTACTGTAGGTTTTTTATCTTACCAAAACGTGATAACTTGGAGATGAACACATTTGACTTTCAGTCAATAGGTCCCTGGCTCGAACCCCATCCATTTTTGGCTTAGACAATCAAATCGCAATATCACTGGCCGTTATTCAAATAGTATAGTTAAACACATTAACCTGATGCATAAGTAAAATTAGTGTTTATCATTAATACCACTGTAACAACGTTTAAAAATAACATTTTGTTCTTGCGTATCGATAATTTGCCGTTTCTCTTCTACCCAACATTAGATTTGTTCATTGTTTTTCTTATAAATGTAGAAAAACTCTTCTTCCACATACCGAAGAATATCTTTCACGTTTCTCCGATTTATTAGAATTGTCATTAGAACCAGATTCTAGTGTTTTAAATGGTGAACTAAATGGAAATGTTGGTTTTGTCAATGGAAATACATCGAATTTTGGAAAATCTGTTAAAACAGGCTTGGGTATTACTGAACAGGGTTTCCTTTATGAAGCAGCTGCGCAACTTATCGCTGCAGGTGGTATCCAACTGCCTAACTCAGCTAACAGTAATAACAACGGAGAAGATCGCGTCGGAGAATTATTTCGTGTTCTACTTACTCCTGTTATGATTCAGTATGATCAGTTTGTGACAAAGTATGTTACTGAACAGAATCCGAAGGTAGCTGACGTTCGTGGAATTTTAGTGAAACAAGTTACTGATCTTATTACGTAAGTCTCTTTTATATATACAATTATTAAGGTTTAATGGAGCGGTGGTTTAGTTAACTAAAGCATTTGACTTCCAGCCACTGTGTCTCAGGTTCTAACCACTTCATTTACTCCATTTTGGGCCTTTGCATGTGATGCATAGGTTGCAATTTATTTTACCAATCTGTATTTGTTAATGAGTTTTTCACTTATTTTACGACACTGACATTACCATCAGCAGCTGTCTCGTGTTACTTATCTCTTCTGCCCGTCTATCTACTTTTTGTTGTTACTCACCACTCGTTACGGTCATTGTATAGACTCTTCATTTGTCTGCATGTAAGTTGTTTTTGCCTTTCGTCTTGTTGGAAGCCTCACTGTACGAGTTTCTCACGAGATATATTCATCTTTCGACCTTTTGGTTTAAGTTACTAGTATTTATCACTAATGTGTCTAAAGCTGTTCGGATATTCTCTTCATGGGTCGATTAAGCTCATTTGAGACACATTAGGCAATTTTATCTCCAAAAATTCATTTGAAGTCATTCAGTTTTGATTCCGCGTGACCTGTAAAAAAGACTAGTCTTCTATGGAACGACTCCAGCCGTTGACCGTATAAGTATTCAGTATATTTGTCTCATTGTTTGGTCGATGCCGAGGTTGAGAGACTAAAAATGTCTCTTTTTCTGCTTAAATTTGGTATTTGCTAAGTAGTAATCCCATTCCACTACTGTATTATCTATTTGCTCATTGTAATTTAAACACTTGATTCACCATGTCATTTTCTGTGTGAGTCTGATTGAGCACATGTCAATTTTTAATCTATTCTTCAATAGGTGTTTACCACTCTTTGCCTGCTGAACTGAAACGTTTACAGTTCCTTCCGAATGTTTTGGTTTACCTAATTGAGCATTAGGTTCACACTCTACAATTGCAATCTAATCTCCTATTCTTTTTTGAAATCCATAAATATTTCATTGCAACTTATCCTTTATTTTCTCTGGTTTACAGTAAATTACGTTAGCATATCTTAATCATAGTAAATGCAAATTAAATTACTCAATTCTTTTGTAAATTTCACCGGGGTCCATACGTTTTAGTAGATCATTAATCCACTAACCAGTCTTATATACGCCTTTATGTTATTAAAACTTGTGTCAGTTCCTGAAGGTTATTCCCTAATTAATCGATCTACACAATATTGTAAAACAGGTATTATAACATATCATTACGATTTATTAACAGTCATGTTATTTCTTAATCATTTGCATGGTTTATTTCATCTGAAAATATTTAGGCAAATATTTCATCAAGGAAGTTAAAAAACAACTAATCACTAAAGTATATAACTTATTTTCCTTTTCATGTTTATTTACATGTTATTATTTGTTGCTGTTTTATTTATATTAAATTATTTGTTGTTTAGAAAAACTACTCGAGTATTTTCTCAGCCAAAGTCTGTTATGACCTCTGGATGTGAAGCTGTGTTAATTGATGCAATGCACCTCATAATTTCAGAATTGTCGCGTTTCCCTACAGAAGCTGCTAGTCCCGGTCGACAAGCTGCATGCGCCGGTGTTCGTGCATTCTTGCATCGAATGGTTGCTTGTATTGTGCCAACAAATGAATCTAACTCGATTGGATGCAGAAGCACTTTGACATCGGATATTTTATTGGTTGCGCTTGTAGACGCTGTTCCCAAATTGGTAAGACCGTTACAGTCTACAGTCGCTTGTTATACTAGTGCCAACCAAGTGGTAGATATAGCCGATGCCGAACAACGTTGGAAAGAAATCAGAGATGTAATCCCTCTCGTTACACAAGTAGTACTGAGATATAAGGTATAAACTAGTCACAATTGTTTTGCAAACATTTTTCAACTTCTCTTCTGATTAACATACTATGAGTGTTTTTTTTCAGTTATATTGTTTCATTCTTTACCAGTTTTTCAACCAGGTTTTCCATGGTGGTCTAGCTTCAACTGACTCATGATCTTAATCATTGAAATTACTACAATCTCTACAAAACCCCTTCTGACAATATTATTATAGAACACGTAATATATTTTATTAATCTAAACAGCGTAATATGTTATTGTAGACGAGTTTGTAAACTCAATTTTGATTAAATTTGCATTATTATTGATGATTTTCTTGTATCATTGTTTGTAACTGGTGATTGTAAGGGATTTTTAATTCTCCGTTATTGATGTTAAAGCCTTATTTTATTTTATATTTTATTTTAACACATAGATATCGGTACAAGAAGGCACCAAATACATATGCGCCACACAGATCTCATTTGATATGTGTGAGGGCTGTGATACTGCCCGGGTGCCCAAACCGAAGCAGGTGGTTTTCTTATGGGGCCACACCCCGAGCTTTTGACCTGAAGATCTGATCCACAAGGCAGTGAAGCATCGTGAGGAGATGCAGTCCCATGGAAGCCGGTGACCAAGAAATTGGTTCATACGCCATTTGTTCCTTCAGGATACTGGAGCCCATATGCACCATTGATTTGGGATCCGGTTATAGCGCCGGACATTCGCTTTTCGTCCTCTCATTTTTGTAAACAACACCCCCGCCACGAGAAGGCAGTGAGTAGGACTTCCCTGGCAGAGGCTGTATACGTGTGGCCGTGTGAGAGTATTTCGAGAGGGAGAGCGGACTCTCCCCACTCTCGGCCATACCAGGGCGTTTGGGGGAAAACCTACAGTTGGTCGATCTATTTTGGGATATATCAGTTCTGAATGGATTGCCTCGGTACTGCTATTTAGTTACAGGTATTAATTAAGTTCCTTTGTGGCTAAATCTACGTTTATAAAGCAATACGTGTTAAGTTCAAATCTCAGTATGATCACAAACATCGGGATTTAGGCATATCCAGATAATGAGTTTCAAATGGGGCAAATTATAAATCGTAGATTTCACTGCTAGCTACAATCCACCTTTGCTTCATTATTACATGAACAAAGGCGTTCAGTTTTTCTACATTTTTTTCTCTGAATACTATTGGATTTTGTAGGCATTGCTTAGATTATGGTACATTGAGAACATTTTGTTTTGATATATTCTAATGTGTTCTAACTTGATTTACACTTTGGTCCAATCTAATTCACATTTTAAACAATCGATTTTTTTTCACTGTGGACACTTATTTTGAAGGAAATTTTCAGTGTGTTGTGAACACATTTTAATTACTGTCATGATACACAGAATCGTGGTCGATAGATGTACATTGATATAATGCTGATAAATTAGTCACTAGACTAGATTCTTGACACAAACCTTCAAATAAACTGATTAACAGAATAAATGTTCCTCTTACCACTATAGAATGACAGATTTTGTACATAAAAATATTCACCACAAAGATAAACTTAGTTTAAAGCATAGATAACTGAAAAATACAAATTTTGTAAGTAGTAACCTTAATAAAACTTAGATGTGACACTCATCAGGTCCATTGCTTGTGTGTTATGTAATAACTTAGACCCCAAAATTTGAAGAGCCTGTTGACTACTGTATAAAATTAATGCTTGTGTATTATGTTTTTCTTTCCCTAAGATATTCACCACTATATATTGAGTAAACGGTACTGTAAGTCGTTTGTCCGTTATTCTGTATACTCCCAAAAGACGAGGCTACGGTTTTCGACCTAACTGTTTATCATTGTAATCCATTATCTATTGAATAGAAATATTCATGTAATCACTAATTTGTATTGTTTCTTTTTTAGATTTATATAATTTAAAATATATACCAGTTTAGATGAAATGATAAAAGTAATTCTGTATGGGAAGAACATGTGTTATTTTTGCTAGAATTTGTAGTGTGTTTTAGTATCCCGCTATTAATGAACATTAGTCATGTAGCATATTTTACTACATAATTTTGCCACTGAGTAATTATTGTATTGAACACTGCTCACTAGAATGTTATTAGTGTGTAGCGAAACGTGGTGTCGAAGTTGAAACAACTGTCAGACAGAGGGATGAGTTTCAGTACATCGAAAACACTGCGCTGGCAGTCGAGAAGACAGTTCATATTGCAGAACACACCGGAAGATAAAAATGGACGATTGAAGGCTATGTATACGTATTAAGTTACTAAACGTAAGGGTTCGTTGAAGAACATATTTCATCAATAAATTACTTCACTTATGATGTAGAACTAGTTAAACTAGGATTTAGTGCTCCATATTGTTATTAACATTGACGTAAATCCCTTAATTACTTGATTGGCTGATAGGTGTCTCATCTTGACCTTACTTGTTTTGGGTTTTACCTCAAGTCATAGCTTTCCATTAAATTTTACCTTATTGTTTTTGTTACTGCATTCAAAATCAAATTTAGTTTAGCAATAGTGATTGTAAGAACTCTAATTATTGGCATAACTTCAAATGAGGATTCGTCATAAGCTCCCAACACGACTGTGAGTTTGCATAGTGTTTTTGATAGCCTATTATTTTTCTCAAAATTCTTCAATCTCGAACTCTGCAAAAATAATTCGGCATTAGTGAGACCAATTGATGTCTTGAAATTATAGTGTTTAATCAGCTATCAGTGCATGTTAAGATTCGTTGAATAGTTGAGGTGTAGTTAATATTGCCTCTATATTGACTTTAAAGTTTATACATTTATACGTTGAACAATTCCACTTCCTAGGATTCAATAGATTGATAGCCATAATAAGTCCTTAAAAATATTGTTATTAATATAATACTAAACAAATTCAGTAGTAATCTCACGGATTTTCTAAATGTGTAACTTATTTTATAAATGGTTTAACAAATAAAATATGTAGAGTTTTACGTAATATATGTTTTCTTAATGAAACTGAGTTTGTTTGTTAGTAATTTATCGTAGTGTAGATCGAATTCTTCTCAGTACCGTGTATTGAAATCGACTAAATTAACCAGCGAAGAAGATTTGCGATTCAAGTGAATGCTTTTTCTGCTGTTGAGTTTTCTGGACTTCTTAGCCTAATTGCGAACCTTTCATTATCGTTCTAGGTAAAATCATCACCGCTTACTTTATGTAGAAATGAGTCGTATAGTTATCTCACTAGCACAAGCTAAGTAAACACTTGTGGAGTAACTATGATGCTCACTTCTAAATGAAGTAAACTCTGGTGATATCATCCAGAACGATATTAACAACTGTTCAGTCAAACTATTCATCTAATTTAGAGAACTTAATGACACAAAATATTGACCAGTGTTATGTGGATACTTGGTTGTAAACTTGACTTCATGTGTTTTTATACACTGGACGTATGTAAGTGTAGTTTGTCTATTTTATGCTCTTCATCTTTTATATTTCGATTTTTTTTTCATTTTGTTCTATAGAACCAAAGCATTCCATTTTTATCAACTTGTCTACCGCATTTAATGGAAGTTATCATTAATGCGTTAAATGAATCATTACCACCGGATCATCCAACATTAATTGAAGAAAAAAAGTTACTACGTCGTGGATATCTTCAATTGGTTCAAACTATATATCAATCAGTTCCTGATGTATTTTCACAACTTATTAGTGAAAATATTGTACAAGTTAGTTATTCTGTTTGTAAACTGTAGTATATAATGATTATTATCCATTCTATACCGTGGATTATTTTGTTAAATCATTACTTAAAGTTATGACGTGGAATGATAATTTTGAACTATGTTGTAGTCCGTCATCTATTTTACATAATTTAGTTTTCCTAGATTACTTATGATTCATAGTCCAGTCTAGGAATCTGTAGTCGATTTTTAAGTATAGTAGACTTCTAAATACAGTTGTAGTGAATAAAACACCAGTGGGGACAATCGAATGTATTTAACAACCAATTACAGAACTAGTTAGTAAAATCAAACAACCATATATTGAATCGTTAATTTGCAAATTGTTCATCAATTGTCTCAAATCACTCAGAATCCCCTTGTTCTTGCATTTTCATACAAATTACCTTCTGTCTTCATTCTTTATTTTTCGATCTTCTTATCTCTCTGCCGCCAGACATTCTGTTCAGTGCTCACGTCATATACTACTTATGTCTACATAAGTAGCACACACCACACAGTAACCACTGATGAATTTCGTATACCAGGATAAGTACAAATTTGCAATACTCTAGACTTAAGACTCCCAAACATGATATGATATCGGTCCATGAAGTCAGTGACTGTTAAACCGAGCCCTGTGTTAATAGGTACAGACTATCTGCTTGCAGTCCACATGATTCGAGAGGATGAATGACATTGACCATAATCGATTATACTGGTGTAAAAACATTCATATATAAACTTCTGCTCATATTTGGATTCTACGTCGCTTACATCTGATTGACTGACAATATACAACAAACATATGAAACTCTGAAATACAATCAGCCATTTTATTATTAAAATATTTAGGAGCTCGACTTCACTTTTTAAAGTTATTACATTTATTATATTCCCATATGTCCGCTACATTGTCAAGCCCTAACCATGAAAACAACCTTGTTATTGTAGAGTAGTGTTGAAAGATACTTATCTCATATATAGTTCGTACGATAATCTGTAATTCACCTTTTATTTCAAGCTTGACATCTATACATGTAGAAATACACACACCTCTTCAATATTCCAATACAATTATCATAGTTCTTGTTTAATATTTTCTTTACTCTTTATGTACCATTTGTATTTAACATTTTAGAATCTTTCTACAGTACTTGGACAAGTTCAAGCTTGCTTAGAGTCTGATGATCCAACTGGATTACGTTCAGGCATAATATTATTTTTACAACTTATACAATCAGCTGCTCATAATTTACAATTTTATGAAGATTTCTTGTTGCCACATCTTGTTCCATTTTTTATACTTGGTCCAATATCTCCTGTCTTTCGTCTGACTGATGGTCAGTTCATATTGGCTTTGGATAAAATTGCTGAAAGTCTTCATGTTTTGTATCAAAAACAAGTTAGTTGTATTTTTAATGACTGATATGTCTTATCGTCTGAATGCTTACTTGTTATATCTGGTCGTCGCTGATTGTTGTGTCGAAAACGCTTATCACTTATACTCGAAACGAGGGACCTCTGCAATTCTCACGACGCGAAGGTGAGAATACAAAGACTGGTATAAGCGAAGATTTATTAAACCCCGAAATACGACGACGACTCTAGTCAAAAATACACTCATTTATATATTGATTGTACACACACTTTGATTAATAATTAGGATGAAATCACAAAAATACTCAGTTATAACAAATCACATAGTTCATGTCCACTGAATACAAGAATATCGCATATTATACAGAATAAAATATCATACGAGAAAAGAAAATTAATACCACACTGAATAATCATAATATTGAATGAGAACGGAAGTAATGTTGAGCAAAACTCATAATGACTTTTCTTCTCGTCATATCAATGACAATCTTGTCTTATTATTGAGCTTAATAAGTGTTCTAATTAATTCTGTTGAAAAAGTTGACTCCTTTCACATTTGTATAGAACTTCAGAAGTTAGATACTATATTGATGTATGGTTTTCTTAATTTTGTAAGTGCTTTCTGGAATATCACCACAAAATTTCTAATTATACTTAATCAAAATAAGATGCTTTGTACAACTATTAAGTTCTCACTTATTGTCAAGTTTATGCATACTGGACTGCAGAGATCACTCAGAGATTACACATGATATTTTATATACAATGTGACAGTATCTTGTCGCTCAGTGATCACTGGTGTAGGAGTAGGTTAAAAGAAAGCTAGGTTTTGCAAAACCGAAAGGTAGACATAGATTATCCGATGGGGATCCTCCCGATTGCCGGTGATACTTTGAATGAAATGGCTAAGAACCGTCCACAATCATGTAGACTCATTCATTCTTTATTTTTACTTAGAACTACCATATTTTTTAAAATCATATCTTCTACGCCTAATTCTTTCCATTACCCCTAATCTTATTACTATTTCTACTACTCTGTGATTATTCCTAGCGATTTCATTTCGCTATGCTAGTGGGTTGTGGCAGCTTACACGGATGCATGAATATACCAGATTTTACGTCGTGTATAACTGTTTGAGTGTCATCTAAAACCTGACATTAATTTTTATAACGATCCATAAAATGAAAACACTATCTACAAACTATATAAACGTTTACTTAGATACAATATTTTATTTTTGTTTTACTATATTCCTTCTGTTGATATAAAAATAGATGAAATCATAAATTTGCAGTTTTTTATCGAATGGTCTGACTGCAAAAGTGTTGTGTGAAACTTGTTTGCATTTATTAATCTTTTGTTTAACAATCTGTTTCTTTGATCCATTTACCAAGTACATGTTTTTGTGTATATTTATCCTTTGTGAGGGTTAATAATATTATTAACTGTGTGATTAATCCGAAGTAGGTGAATTGTGTTTAACCTGCAATCTCAGTCAATTATAAACGAAGTAAAATATAGGACATATTTGTATATTAATTCAAATCGGATCGATCTTGTGTCGGTCTAATTTCCTCTTGCTTTCCTTCAACCTACTCCCACACTCATCAAAATTTAATGTCGAGGTACGCGGTGGTTAAGCTCAGCTCAATTGGTGAAAATCTACAACATCATCAGTCAATTTGCTATTCTTGTTTAGTGTGATACATCTTGCATCAACACTATACCATGAAATCACTATATCAGCCTATCAGCTCTTGAAATGAACTTAATTATGATTTTTAAATTGCATAGACATTAGTGATATGTTTATTTATTTAATGTCAGAAAGTTTTTCAAGCTCCGAAATGAAATTCATTTTCTATTCTTCACTTGTGGTTTTTGATCCGATGATAAATCAGACCAAACTAATTTGATCATTCTTTTCTGTGATTTATGTAGGATGGATTGTACACATATTTAAAAGATTACTTTCTGCCACGACAACAGTTATCTCCAGAATTAATTGAATCTTACACAAGTGCATTAAAATCTAGTTTAAAAGATTTTCAACTGTTTGTCAGAGTAAGTACTATTGGTTTTTATCCTTATATTGTTTGAAATCATATATGTAATATGGTTAGGCGTGGATTATACTCATATCTTTATATATATGAATTACATAGTAAAGCGATCTTAGCTTATGAAACAATTTCATCATCTTTAAACGTACTGCAAGAATTCTTTGATACATAGAAAACAATGACAAATCAGTTCAGGCGCTTTTTCTCCCCTATCTCACTCCAGTGTTCATAAGGTTAAGCGTTCGCAGCTAAACTTAGTGACCTTAGGTCATAGATCCACCTTACTGGGATGTCCTGTTGTACTACATGGTTATTATATTTTAATTGCTATTCCTCATTCATCTTATTAATACTTCTTGTTTCTGGGATAAAAGCAATTCATTTCAATGTTGTAGCACTATATACTATTCTGCATTTTTATGTTTTTTTCTCTTATTTTTGTTTCCCAGAGCTTCTATGCACATTTTCATTGATGCTTAGTGCTTAGTCATTTGAATTAATCCTAAGCGAGAAAAACAAAACATCGTCCAGATACTTCCGGTATTGTATAGATTTAAATTGCTGATCTTTATTCATGTTAAAACGATTTAATGCTAGTGTTTCTTTATGAGTTAGTTTGGTGATGTCAATGTGTAGTCTATATATATTTAGGCCAAATATTTGAATTATACATGTAAATCTTTCTATGAATTTGTTTGTAAACAAAGCGTGATTTCTGTTTTTATGACTTACATTCCTGTGTAATGAGTAAAAAATAGGAGATACAGTTTAGCATCTATGATTTTTCTTTTTGCCATTTATTCCCTGCTCATTTTTTAAGTTAATAATGATTGATTGATTGACTGTTTAGTTCTCACTGGTTATAATGCCCCCTTCAGAAAAAACGTTATTTCTGTTAATTCTTTTTGTTTAACTTTTAAATCTTTTTGTACATGGTGTTTTGTGTTCATTCAGAAGAAAAAACTGACAGTATACAAGTATCAATCAGTTTCATTTTAGCTGTTAGTAGTCCACTTTGTAGTGGAGCATTCACTGTGAATCAGGCTTGATAGTAATGGTAATCAATCAGATTGCAGAATCCGGTGCTACCATACGTTTTCTAAAGTACTTAGATTACGTCGGTACTGCGAGATGATAAAATTAGCAAGGTAATTTGTGGAGAAAATCTAGTGCTATTATGACGGGTACTGTCCGTAATCCGATGTTGATAAACGACGTGCTACTCACTCATCCCTCATCTGACTTCTCGAGCGAGAATACAAGAGTAGGCGAAAGAGTATATTGGGCTACTGAACTGCTTGATTATAATCTCATAACCGGTTGCAACTGTAAATAAAACATCAAAATCATCGCTCATTATACAGTAAGTCACCTTTTAGCAATAAGATAGATGATTCTGCCACTTAAGATACATTGTTATAATTCTCTCTTACGGTTATGTCCCAGCAATTCCTATTGCTTAGTATTTCCGGACACCAATTCACTCGACAAGGCCCCAAATCAGAACACGGTTGACAGGAAAGAGATTATATTCCCAATAACAAGGTTAGATGTAAGTAAGAAGCAAAATAGGAAAGACGTTAGTATATTTATAGTTTTTACATGGGAATATTTCTAGAGTATTCTCCACGTATCGACTAGAGCTTTGAGCAGATTCGTAGAATCTGGTGCTAGGGTCCAACTGCAACCGAGTGACTGGCCTGTGCTTTCGATTTGTCTATCGTCTAGGCAATAAAGAAGTACCACTCTTTGCTTGCACAGAAACTGATCTGTCTGTTCCAGGCGTTTTGATTTCAAAGGTGTCTAGCAGAAAATCAAGAGGTAATCGATATTGAATCTCGTTGCTGGCTATCGAAGTTGCTTTCAATTGGTTAGCATGACGTACCCAAACTTCTGAGCCGACACCTCATAAACCACACTCCCCTTCGTTTCCAAGATCCGACCTGCTGTCCATGTAGGATGTTTCTCATGATAGTCCATGATGTCGATTGAACTGATTCTCCATCGATAGGTTTCGTTGAGGCTCAAAAGCTGGCGTAGGACGGATGACGTCGAAATGTGTTCGTATTTTTCTGCCAAGTAGAGCTTCTGCTGGAGAGACCCCGTTAGTCGTCTGAGGAAACCTCAAAGATCTCTTCAGTGGTCCCCTCCCCTTTAGATTTTTTAGAGCATTTTTAAATGTACTCACAAAGCGTTCCACTTGACGATTTGATAGGGGATGGAATGGAGGTGTTCGGACGTGATGGATTCCGTTCTGCCGACAAAATTGTGAGAAAATTACGGACGTAAACTGTGTTACATTGTCACTAACTGTCGATTTCGGGGCTCCGAAACGACTGAATAATTGACTTAGCTTACTGATTGTGCAGCTTACAGTCGGGTGTTCCATGAGAAAGATTTCTGGCCACTTGCTATATGCATCAACTACCAAAAGGTAAGTTTGTCCATGAAGTGGACCAGCAAAGTCCAAGTATATACGCTGCCACGGTGGCTGTGGTATTGGCCATGATTGCAGCTCTGCTTCTCGCGGTGCTTTCGTTGCTAATGCACATTTGGTACATGAACGGGATAGCTGCTCCAATTGAGTGTCTAAATGCGGCCAGTATACATAACTTCGTGCTAATGCTTTCATGCGATTTATTCCAGGATGTCCTGCGTGCAACTGTCCAAGCACTGCTGGTTGTAGCTTCTTTGGGATTATAACACTTTCGGCAGACAGTCGTCGACGATTGGGAGAGTCTACGCTGGTAAAACTGTTGAAACTTTGTGGAACTGATCTTCGCGGGCCACCCTTCCAGATGGAACTTCTTGTGGAATTGGGTCTCGAAGGGTTTCTTCATCTGACGACACTGAAGCGTTTCGAATAGCATCTGCCACTATACTTCGTATTTCTGGGTCTAGTGTTTTGGAGGCAATGATTATATCCTCTGGTCCAGGATGCTGAACTCCAATTAATCGTGAGAGAGCGTCGGCTTGACCGATAGTATTTGTCGACTGATTCTTGATATTGAAATCATAACTCAGGAGCACTGTAGTCTATCAGCCGTATAGACCGTGATTCCTTTCTTAGAACGAAAGATTGCAATCAGAGGTTTGTGATCTGTCAGTTGAGTAAATGTACGACCATAGAGCATTTTATGAAATCTTTTGACAGCGAAAATGATCGCAAGAGCTTCCTTTTCAATTTGACTGTAGTTCTGCTCGGCTGGGGTAAGTGATCTAGCAGCATGGGCAATTGTCTTTTCTGATTTGTCCGGGAACACGTGAGATATCACTGCTCCAACTCCATGACTAGATGCAGCAACAATTTCCAAGCTGGGATCGAAGTGTGTCAAAAGAATCTTTGAGCTGAGCATTGATTTGACTCTGTCGAAAGATGCTTGACATTCTGCTGACCACTGCCAAGGTTTATCTTTTGATAGTAATTCATTCAGCGGACCTCTCACTCGATGCATTTCAGGCAAGAATGTGCTGTACTGACTGGTTAACCCCAAGAAGGATCTTAATAAAGTGACATCAGTTGGTGCACGCATCTTCTGAATGGCTTCGATGTTGGCAGGGTCTGGTCGGCGACCGTTCTTATCTAGGATAAAACCAAGCTATTTGATCGAATGAATAAAGAAGATACACTTTTCCTCACGTAGTTGGAAACTATATTCCAACACTCGGTTAACGACTTCATGTAGTCGATCAGAAAGTTCATTGTCAGTTGGACCCATAACTATGATATCATCTAGATAAGCTGTTGTACCAGGTATACCTGTTAGCATCGTATCCATGATTTTCTGAAAGATGGCAGGTGCGGTTTTGATGTCAAATGGTAGACGGGTGTATTGAAATAACCCCCGATAAGTGTTAATAGTCAGAAGCTCTCTAATGTTTTCATCTACTTCCACTTGCAGATAGGCAACGGAGAAATCGGTTTTCGCGAAACATGTCACACCACTAAGTTTGGCGAACGGGTCTTCAGAAACTGGTAACGGATATTGATACACATCTAATGTAGCATTTAAACCGGTCGAGAAATCGTCTAATATGCGTATAGTTCCATCGGCCATCTTAGTCACTAGGATTGGTGCAGCCAATGCAGAGTAGTTGAATGGTTGGATTACACCAGCCTGTTGCAAGCGATTAAGTTCCTGATCGACTAGCTCAAAGCAGCATATGGTACAGGACGTCTCGGACGAAAAATAGGTTTGGCATCTGGTTTTAATGGTAAGTGAGCTTTCATCTTGGTACAGTGACCAAGGCTATTTTGAAAAACAGAGGCAAACTTTCTTTTCGGTTTTTCTGGTAACCTTTCGCCTGTCTTCTTTGTAAGTACTGGGGTGTCTGATGATGAACACGATACGTTGCAGACACTGTTTTTTGGTACATCGATTAGTCCAAATTTATCTAACGTATCTTGACCAAGAAGATCAAGGTTTGGCCGTCCTGTTAGGTAACACATACCTGTACAGTTAGTTGCATTGGAGGAAAATTCACCAACCAGTTTTAGCACGCCACCTGGTGCGTTTTTAGCCGTTTTCGTAGATGGTTTCTCTAGACACTAAGGTGATATCTGATGCCGTGTCAATTTGAAGACGAGCTGATATGTCGTTTATCTGGATGGTAACATACTTTCTCCCAATGTCATAGTTTGTTTGAAAGACAGCTACCAGAGAAAGATATTTAGACTCGGCTGATTTCACATGTTGAGGACGTTTGTGTTTCTTTTTGGGATGAGACATACGATTTGGTCGACAATGACCTTCTTTATGTCCTCGTTTGTTGCACACCTGACATTTATGCTTCTTAAATGGACTGAATCGTACATAATGCCGATCACCACATAACCGGCATGCAGTCGTTGGTTTGTTACGAGTTGTTATCGGTTTCTGAACTTTTAACCTAGTAATAGCATTGACACTACTGCGGTTTAAATTAGGATTTAACTGTTCAATTGTCGTGTCTGATGCTTTGTAGCCGCTTACACTCATCTGTCGATGTTCTGAGTGCTACATTTGGGTCTTGATCCAGTCGAGCCAAAAGTCTAGTTCTGATCTCAGCATCTTGTGGTGACTGAAGAGCTTTGATGAATATTGGTCTTCTGTCAACGAGCATAACTTGAACCGTTCACATTCTCTGTTGACGATGTCTGCTAGAACACCATATTCATCGGCTTCGCGTTTCACCAAATTAAGACACTGATATCGAATACTAAACAATGAGGATGATTCACCGAATATTTCTGACAATTAAATTACCGTCTCCTCGAAACTGAGCTCTCGAGGTAACTTTTGCAATATGTCAGCACAGCGTGCATGTTCACTGCTTCCCAACTTACGTACCAACAATCGAGTCTTCCAAGCATCGTCTTGTCTAAAGAATTCTATTCCAAATGTATCTTCCCAACGTTTGAACCACGTGAAGAAAATATTTCCATTTTCGGCATCATAGATGAATTCTGGGATGCTGCTAGCAACTGCATCAC